ACAGAAACAAAAGTGGCTGTGAAATAAAGTTTATTACTCACGTAGTAACTAGCAAAAGGATTCCCCAGGGAGAAGGGCTTGGGTGTGGTCTGGAGCAAAATATGAATGAGATGTGGGTGGGGAGTGGTGTGTCTATTTTTTATTGTGGTCGAGGGTTGGGACCAAAATCATGGCTCCTGTATGGGAGCCAGGGTTTGGATGGCTTGAACTTCTCTACCAGCGCCAAGGGAGGGAGCATCCGAGCTTTCTTATGTATTTGTCCAGACTTGGGGCAAAAGGGAAAGGGGAGGGGTGGGGCTTGAAAGCTGTCAGTAATCAACATCAAAAATGGAGTCAGACTCTATCACGCATGAAATTCCAGTGAGCTGGAGATAGCTCACCAGACAAATGGAAGGAGCCTGAGAACGAGCCCCCTGCTGAGTGGCGAGTGTGGCCATGGGCTCTCTGCAAGAGTAGACATGAGAAAGATTTGTTGAAGAAGTGAATGTGAATGGGATGCTTTTAGGGCATGGGGAGGCTTTCTTCTGAGTGTTCTTTAATCAAATGCTCCCTACACCCATGGCTCAGAGGTGGTAGTCCAGAGCCCATGTCAGTCACAGTGCTCTTGACCACTGAGTGGCTTAAAAAAAGACAAATTTGTTATTTTTCACTTCTGGAGATCCGAAGTGCAAAAATCAAGGTATCAGCCAGGCTGCATTTCTTCTGGAAGCTCTAGAGGCGAATCCATTTCCTCACCCTCTCTAGGTTCCAGCGGCTGCCTGCATCCCTTGGCTCACGTCTGCATCACTCCAACCTCTGCTTCCTTTGTCACATCTCCTCTCACTCTGACTTTCCCGCCTGCCTATTATAAGCACCTCGTGATTACTCTGGGCTCACCTGGATAATCTAGGAAAATCTCTCCATGTAAAGAGCCTTAACTTAATCACTCCTGCAAAGTCCTTTGGCCATGTAAGAACATGCACAGGTTCCAGCAATTAGAAAGTGGACACCTTTGAGGGTAAGGGAGCATTATTCTATCTACTACACCACTGAATCCTGTGGTAGGCTTGGGAATGCTAAGGTAGGCTTTGTCCTGAGTAGGAGAATTAGTGCTCCATAAATAATAATAATAATAATAATAATAATAATAAAAAAAAAACTGAGCACTGACTATGTGTTAGCCTCTTCATAAGGACTCAGTTTCTCTTAATATGTGACACCCTATGAAGCCTAGGGACACTGTTATTGCTCTTATACATTGAGTAAACTGAAGCTCAGAGGGCTTACGTTGCTTGCCAGAGGCACACAGACAAGTGAATGGTGGAGGCAGGCTCTGAGCTGAGATGGTCTGCAGCCAGAGCTTGGGCTCTCAACCTCTGACTCTTCACTTCTCTCTGCTGTAGTGGACTGCTTCCACTGAGGCTGCTAGAGGTGGGACCCTCCTTGCCTTCCCGTAGACTCCTCGGTCAGGAGCTGTGGGTTCCTGCAGTGGACGCAGCTGGGCAGGGGCAGCCCCTGAGGTATCTCTTTGCAGAGGGTGAGCCTGTATGGCCCAGAGCTCACCTGGCCAGTGGGCCTCGGACACCAAGCCCCTTGGGAAGTTCTGGATGCTGGGGTACACCCCTTGCTGGGGAAATCTTTGCAAAGGAAGCTAACATTGGCAGAGACTATTTTCCGCATGGTTAAGTAGCAATATAGAAGAGGTTCTGCTTTTTTATTTCTTTCTGACCCTCCCAAGTATCCAGGGAGAAGTGACAAGACTATGAGGGGATTTAGAAAAAAAATCGTAAACATTCAGGACATTTTAATGAGCTGATTTGAAATGAGATCTGACTAGTAACAGTTCCTGTCTATAATCATCTGTTGGCAGGATATGTCCAGAGTTGGCGCTGATCTTTTTCCTACCTTTGTCCTGGCCCAAGTTCTCTGAGTAGGGGCCACTGTCACCTACGCTGGGCCAGGCAACTGGAGGTCGGGCACATCGTCCTAGTTCTGCTGTCGCTGGGCGCAGTGCTTTGGTTTCTGAGCCTCTGCTTCCCCTGTGGTGAATGAGGTGGTTGTCTAAGTTGCTGTTCCCAGAGGGCTGTGGTGAACATAAATGGATAATGCCAGTGAGAGTGACAGGCTAAGCAACACTAAAAACTAATACACACAACATAAAGTGGACAGTATTTACCCAGCATCCTTTGCAGCTTATCAGAACTCCCTTTTCCTGCAGAGACACCCATTCTTCTAAGTGGGCTGATCGCGGATCTCCCACAAACCTTGGAGGTGGACAGATGGCCACTTCTTTGGCCACAGAGATTGGTTCTGGTATGGGCTCATGACCCCAAGGACCTTCCTGCGACTTTCAGCTAGAGCTATGGAGAATGACTAACTTTCCACTTGCTGCTAAGCTCCAGTGGCTGTCTTGCCTGCCTCATCTTTTGATGCATTTCTGCAGGCCAGATCCATCCTTAAATTTTTAATTACATCAGTCAATAAATCTGCCTCTCCCTTTTTGGGTATGTTACTTCAAATTGGGTATCTATTAACCAAAAAAAGTCATTATCACTGCAGCTATCATCTTTAAGGGCCCGGGACCCATGTTTGGAGGATGTGGAGAGCTTGGAGGAAGTCTGGGGGAGAATAATAGAGATGTCTACAGTGATAGAGAATGAAGAGAAGCTTGTAGACTAGACACTCTCCAGAGAGCTGTACAAGAGCAAACACAGTTAAATTATAATAAGTTCTTATTGTTATTGCCGTTGTTGAGACAGAGTAAGGGCTACTGCCTGGCTACTTTATATGTCTTTTCTGGTTAAAACCAACACAAAGACCCATGCCATTCTGAATGGATGCCAGTTGTATGGATATGCTTTTTATAATAGTCATTCCTGTTTTCTAATGCCCAAGGGTTCTTAGAAACTGGCTATTTGGCTGAAATAGGCTTAATTTCTCTTATTGATTCTGCTAGTTGCTGTGCACTCAGGTCACTTCCAGAGAGCTGACAGGAGCTCGTTCTTTAATCACAGTATTAGTTTGACAGAGACGTCCCTGGGAGCATTTAAGATGAAGGCAGTCTCACATGGGTGTTTGCTATTGGCCTGAGAGCTGGCTGGCCAGTCCACAGACCCATGTTTAAGCAGGGACAAGTTGAGGAACTGGACTGTGTGTGTGGAAGCTTCTCTCTCCCTAATTTCACACGTCTGGTTATGTGAGATGAGAGCTCACGTGAGGGTTGTCACCTCTCTCTCCCTGTCTGGGCTGTGAGATTCCGAAACAGGCTGACCTCGATGTGTTACAGATGCCGGGCTCACCCATCTGCATCGTCTGCTCTTGTTGTTTACTCTGCCTCTCTCTGCTTTT